AACCTGATAACCTGATAACCTGATAACCTCAGGAATATATAAATTGATGGCAGCGATATGGTGACGGCGCTCGTGCATACCTGACACTATGTAGGTAGTATTGAACTTATATTTCGTATTCTATTAGATCTACAGATTAACATTACGACGCGACTTTTTTTTCTTATGCATACTACTTCGTGTACATACATGTAAGGCATGAGAGGACTAGTGGCTTGCCAAGCCAGACTCGAAACAGGAAACACGGCAACAAACTGTCGCACCGTCGATACCATGAGGGGGAGGAGAACACGAGAAAGAGTGAATTGCCTCAGTTACTTCCACAGCAAGTTTTTGATATCACATTGCTTTCGGCACTTCTCATTGACATATATAATATGCTTGAGGTATCGGTTTGATACAAATTGGAACGATAATATTTGGCCGAGGACGGGTCGCCCTGCTTGCATTGCAGGCCATCCACTTCGGTGATAAGGTCCAACCCAGTCTTCCATGTCCACACGAATGATCTAGCACAGGTGGCTTGCATAATGCAGTGAGGCTGAGGCTTCATACTTTTCTTGCGGCATTCTCCGTCTCCCATCTATTGTTCTCCGATTATTTCATTAGCAGTTCTTTCTATCACGTTATTACCACACTTTCTACGCTCGTGTTCGGTTGCTCGAACCCTGAAATCTCGGGAGCCCGCATGTCGATATAGGACTGTATTTTACACTTAAGTGTCACTCAGATTCCCAATAAAGGCGATTCCTGCTTATGTATTAGCACCAGCCGCTTTCAGGTTTCAAGTACTTCTTCTCCTGACCGCCATCAGGAATGAATAAAGGATTCAACTTTCACCATAGTAAGTCCCGGAGGCCAGAAGAGCAACGCCATAACACTTTGTTTCGAAACTGCATCCTCCTTTTGCAGACCCGAGCAACTTGTTTGCCTATGACACCACCCGAGCTTCTACATTGAGCAACTGGTTAAGCAGCCACTTAATCCGAAAATAGAACAACGCCATTGATACCCGTTAAATTCTATGATTGACCCCATGTCATACCTACCAAGAACAATGCTTTCCAGATCTTGAAGACATTTCTCAAGGTTTCACAGCCCAGCCTTACTAAACAGTAATTCCGGTCTGACTACCTACCTCACATAAGCGACTTAGAACTTTACAAGCGACGCGTAAAGGTACAGTACCTATCCATTTGTAGATGTTTTTTATCATTCACCGAAGGCGCAGAGCCAAGTCTGTGTGTCTCCATTTACTCCTTTTCTTCCCTCTGGATGACTGGACAATTATCGTCACGAGCTGGGTCACATCATCTAATCAACTCTCGCCAGCAAACCTCTCGTATTTATACACTAGCCGATTATTATTTACATATTCTGATAGTTCCCTTGCTTGCCTTCCAACCACCAAGCCCTGCTCTTACCACTTCCACATGAAGTTCGGGGAGTCAATTCTGACGTGGTGTACCAAGCGCCGCCAAGAACGCCCCGTTCTCGCGGGTCAGCCGGTATTCGTGTCTGGGCATTGGAACCCTCTAGGCTCGGAATGATGGAGCTACCTCACTAGCTCAAGCAGCCTAGGACGAAGCCCCCACAGTACGATGTATGTTTAAGGGGACGTATTGAAACAAGTACATATTTCTCCCTACAGGTATTCATATACAGTGCATACGTATGCCACGAAGACAGATTAACGTTTCCTGTTACTCGCGATCGAGGGCAAGCCAAGATTCGACTCTGAAATTAACTCAGCATTTGTGAATAGTCAGGATTGTGGCATATTCTTCGAGATAGCCAACAATATCTACACAAGGTATTCTTTTGCGATGGCCTTTATCAAAACAATAACATACACAATAACGGGGAAAGAAAACGTCATTTCTCACTATCGCGTTTCTCTTTTCGTGGTCAATCGAAGACTTTTACCGGTGACTTCCCATTCTGACCATAATCGATTCAATTGATGGTTACGAACTAGCATAAAAGGATATGCAAATGTAGGCAAAACTTTGTGAGTTAAACTAGTTGACGAACACTAAGTCTACGAGTATTTTACATTCGTAACCACAATTCAAAGATTCTTAACAGGAGCATTCCCCTCCTTGCCGCCACTCCCATACGTACGACGCGCCTCCTTCCCAGCATCTTTATCAGCCTCGAACGCCTTGACCTCCGGGCTATCCATATGCTTAGCGACATTATCAGCTTGCCATTTCTTGAACGTCGCCCCGAGCCCCTCGTTCGAGTAGTCCTTGTCATTGGCCTGGTCCTTGTGGTATTTGACACGAATGAAATTGCTATCGATGCTCCCTGGATCGAGAGACAGGCTGACGAGAGCATTGATGACGGCTGTTTTGGGGATGATCCTGAACGTCCATGCCTAAGTGCCAAGATAAAATTAGCTTATCCGGGTTCTAGAAAGAGGAGATACTTGTTCCTGAGATAGCCAGCTCACCTCCTCGTGTCGGAACTGGATCAGATCCCGGTCGTTGGTGACGACCTGGTAGCCACGGCTCTCGGCGCTCTTGAAAAGCTTTGGTAGCGCGAACCACTGGCCGGCCATCTTGTACCGGTCATCGGCATACACGAACTGGTCGTTGTACACACAGTCCGGCGTGTACCTCTTCACGCGCTCGACGGTTGGCTTCATCTCGTATAAAGCGATGATGTCCTCGACCAATGCCTGGCGTGCCGGTGATAGGGGAAAGGACTTGGAACGGTCCGGCGTATAGTCCCCAGTGGGATGTGTCTGCCGCACCTCAAAATGCTCGCCCGGCAGTGAGGCATCATCTGGGAAGTGTCTCTTATCGCTGCCGGTCGGCGGTGGTGCCGACATTTTCCTCGTTGATGTTTGATAGAGCGGTGTTGACAAAATTAAAGCTGCCGATCGAGGTCGAACAGTCACAGTAAGTCGAGTAGTCGTGATAGCGCGGAGGCAGCTTTGCATCTCGGCATAGATTCTCATTCACTAGACTCAGACGTCAAAAGTGCACGCCGGCAGGTCTGCCTCTTAAAGATCGCCAGACCCCATGTTTTACATACGCCCACGTAAGCCTTTCGCAGATACGCCTATGACGTAGTCGTTGCGGATGGATGATCAGTAGATTCTCAAAATGAGACAAATATCATAATAATACCATCTTCATATATTCCATTGTGGTCAATTGATATAGACTGCCTCCCGAGCTACAACGCCGCGTTGTTACACTTATAGGTAGATAATGATTCATGTGGCTTTCAGCTGCATCATCGAACCTGGTTGGTACCTGGCTTTTACCCCTTTCTGTGTTGCTTAGTCACCACCTTACCCCTTTAGCTTCAGCTCCCGAGAACGTAAGCAATAGTTAATATGATATTTGAAGTTCATCATCTCTATCCTAGCTAATTTCACAAGAACTACTACGACAACAATACTTTATATGCAAGAAGTACTATTTCATTCGAATTGGTCTATAATATTAGATAAACAAATACGCTAGGTATTATCAAACAGACTAGATGGTCAAAATATCACACTTCTACACTATGGTGATGCTTTAGTGTTATAGCAGATAGCTGATACTTCCCAAAATGGAGCCATTCTTAACAAAGGGTGAGCCAAGAATCCTCTGTAGTAATGCAGTCGACTTGAACAGGCCACTCGCAAGTAGTGCTGCCAGCAGGGCAGTCAACAACGCATTGTCCTGCAATCTCAGCGTGGCGGTGGACGGAAAGAAACGGATCGCCATCTAAAGCCGACAGGTCAAGCCATGACCGGCCATCCTGAAGATTAACCTCTAATTGGAAGACTCGCCCATTAGGTGACGTACTACATTTCAAGACCGACCCAATATTGTCGTTGTCGGCAGCGAGGGGTGACCGGTGAATGCCACCATTGCCATTTACCTGAACTAGAGGACTGGATGACCCGTCATTTTTGGCTCCGCTACACCAGATATTGAATCCACAGCCATTATGTACGACGAGATTTGCACCTAGGACAGAGGGGATAGTTGCAAGAGCAACGGCGGCGAGAGTGATAAACTTGGTCATAGCTGCGGCAGGCAGATTTTCAGCTGGCTTACCTGATAGACTGATATTCTGCGATTACTAGGTTCAGGAGCTTTTTGCCGTAGGCCTTAGACGTTTATCCGAGCGAGATGGTACTAATAGACTCTGAGCTATTGTGGTGTGGATGCAGAACTTGTCATCACCGACAGGATATCCATTGGGTATATATAGAAAAGTTGCTGAACACAATCTCTTTTGATGAGTGGCCTAGAACGCCAAAGTCTATAACCAACAATGCTCTGTCTAGGAGCTAGTCAAGACCAAGCCCTTGACTTATCCTACTTGCTGGAAGGACTTGTTTCCGCATTGGTCAAAGCAGTTCCCTTTTCACGTCCAGGGGGTGGTGTAGGTCAGACCAAAAAACTTGGATAGAACCCGGCGCCAGTTGAACAGGTCTCTTAGTTAATGCAGTGTCGTTCAGTCTAGGAGGGTGCCCGATAATAGTCAAGAACAAAGGAGCAGAGTCCGATATTCGATAGACCTCTAAGAACAATCCTATTGTGAGAAACAAGTTCCTTTATGGTGACAATAACACATATGTAGGTATTTATGACGATTATATCAGAAAGAATACCTACTAGAGAGGTACCTTATCACGGAGAGGATATACTTAGTTAATTAGCATCTAGCATCTATCGGGAGCTTACATGAAGAGCATCCCTAGTTCAAGTTTCCGATTTCTCCCCAGCTTCGAAGACCGAATTCCTGAACAGCGCAATTGGAAAGGACTACCAGAAACCATGAAATATGACATAGCTATTCAAAAGCTCTAATATGTACATGAAATAGCCGCATCTAATTTTCTCGATTTATTTTACGGAATATAACCTAGTGCACCGGTTGACCCACTCAGGGGGAGCATGGACTTATATGCAACTCTAGCAAAGAAATTTTCATCTCAGCTCCACCACACGAGAGCTAGCACCCGCAAGAGCTCAAACAAACATCGGTCTCGATTCGTCTAGTGGTTAGGATACCTGCTTGTCATCTATCAAAATAGAAAGCTCGCAGGTGGCCGGGGTTCAATTCCCCGATCGAGAGAAATTATCTTTTTGTTCTCTTTTTTTTCCACCGAAAATGCAGCTTTTGGTAGCTGGAGAGGCTACAATGAGGTACGTCTTGACCTATAATTTCTACGCACGCTCATACTTGCATAGGCTCTTTGAGGATGGAAGGCTCTCATATAGTAAACTTCGTCAATCTAATTCTGAACCGGTAATCTTTTCGCAAGAAAGGAAGTTAATTTCATATTATAATACCCCCATAATATTATTTCGTCGAACTTTGAAGGAAATTTATACAAGTTTAGCGTTTACATTGAATCGGTCTTGCTACGACTGGTAGATCGTCCCCTCCACGGGCAAAGCCAATTTCAAGAGGTATTGCTCCATCACCGCCGCAATCTCGCCGCCTACGGTGTCTGGCTGTTCATAAACCCCATGCCCAGTCATGTTCTTGGCTATCATTACGGTACGGTCGGTCCCGATCTCCGACCTCATCTGGGCACCCCATGTTAGGGGGGCGGCGGGATCATGGAACGACTCAACCATCAAGATAGTAGGCATGCTGGCGGTCCTGGGGATCGAAATCTTGTGGGGTGGGTTGCGAGTGGCAGCCGGCCAGCCGATGCAGTTCACTTGGAACAGACTGTAGGCCGGGTCAACTCCCATCATCAGGGGTGTCTGGCTCCGCGCTATCATGTGTTTTATCTTGATATCCTCAACAGACTTATCGTCGTGGTGCCAGTCCTGGCAGACCACTGCAAGACTGGAATACGCTGCAGAGTTGTTATACACAGTTTGGCTTTTGGATGGAGAGGTGAGTAGTATAGCGTTGCCAGCGAAAACACTGGCATCATTTTGGTTAAGGGCGTGGCCGATCGCTTCGGAAAGGTTGGGGAACGTGCTCCCGCTATAAAGCAGAGAATATGTATGCGCGCGGATCTCATCAACTGTCATGTCTGGATGGTAACACGTCTTGGAGTCGCTGCATGGAAGTGGCTTCTCTTGAACCCGAGCTATAAGATCCATCCAGACTTGTTCTAGAGTTTTGCCTGGATCATAGTGTGCCATGGGGCAAGCCGTCGCGTCTTGGGAAGCGCACCAGGAGAGAAAGCTCTTGAATGCTGTCTCAACACACATAATAGCGGATGCGAAAGTTTCTATCTCTGACTGCGACAGGGAGGCCACACTATCGAGCATCATTGAGCGAATATTATTAGGGAAGAGTTCGGCGTATTGTGCTCCAAGGAGTGTACCGTATGATACACCAAAATAATTGATCGGCTCACCGCCAAGGGCTATTCGAACTGCCTCGTGGTCCTTTGCTATACTGACGGTATCCATATAGTCAACGAGAGGCATGCCGGTTCTATCGATACAACTTTGTCTGAGTGCGCAGTTCCGCTTAAGTCGCGCCGTGAATTCATCCTCGGTTAAAGGGTATGCTGGTAGCTGTGCGTTATAAAGGTCGACATCGCATTTCAAAGGATTGCTCATCCCTGTACCGCGGATATCTAGAACAAGATATATGGTTAGTTAAACGTCCTTCAGTTTCAATACTAGGCCACATAAATGTCATGTCTATCTTCACAAATCAAAGCATCCGGATCGATATTTTCTACTCATAACATGATGAGCCGAAACAACACATACCGACGCCGATTAGGTCAAAGTTGTCAAGAAGATCATCTCCCCATCTGGTGGCACCAGTTTCCACTTGAACAACTTTGTTAGTCCCAGGGTTACCGGGGCCGCCAGGCTGGTATAAAAGGTTTCCGATACGATTCTGTGCTAATGTAAGCATGAGGCAGGGAAAATAGTATGGCGGGCTGCCGACCTCTGGTTTTCTAGCTGGAAGCCGAGCTACGCCGATGTGGATGCTTCCTTTACGCGGATTGTCCCAGTCCAATGGGACAGCCAGGGTGCCACACTTGACCTTGGAACTTGGAGCGGCTAATGCTGCTGGACATTCTTTCCACTGGATAGAAGACTTGCCATGTAGGGGAGTTTTGACTGGTGGAACAACTGAGCTGACTATTGCAAGTAAGACACCAGCTAAGTAGTGTAGCATCTTGGGCAGAGTTTGAAATCCTAAGTAATAATGGCAAAGGAACGGTAATGAGTGTAGAAGCTAGAAGATGCTACTAGAGTTAAGAAGATCGGACGTAGAGAGGAGACGGCATGTTTCTTATATCGGGATGGCTAGCTGATCGGCTATATGGGATATTATTAAATAGATATTTCTAATGAAGACGTAGCCGAAATTTAGGACTGATAGTAGATGAGTATATTTGGGATAGCAAGCTGAGCCAAGCACATGGTACAGGTCAATCTGGTCTACGTTAGCATGTGTACACTGGATCGTTACTTTAAACTTCCGGAAAGGACGTGGCTGCTGCATAATTAGATATACCTTAGAATAGGTTGAACTAGCTAATTGATTTCATTTTGCAGGCAGTGGTCTCCTTTGGTTCGTTTGGGATGGGTTCGGAGGAATTGTTGATCTTCCGAAGTATCTTCCGAACTGCTGAGCTTCCGAACCATTGAGCTTCCGAACCATTGAGCTTCCGAACTGTTGATCCACCGAACTAGAGATGTCCTGCCTCACTATTATTGCTTAAGTCATCTTCTCCCATTCTCCTGCTTGAGGCAACGGCTGGTTGACATCACCTTGCTCGGTTCACTGCGCGCCGCATATTCCAAGACACCAGAGAGTGTTTTTGCACTACATGAATGAGTTCCCAGATTTTCGGTTTCATAAGAGTTTCGCTAAGAACGAAGACATATATATTTTCCTTGGTTTGAGGTCACCTAAGATAACCCAGAAGGACTATGTATTATGCGTGGATGTATGGCCTCTGGGGTAACCCCTTTATTGCGCAGTCAAGCTCTGTGGCCGATACTATGCGGACATACTAAAAGGGACTCGGTAGAAATAAAATTGACATCAGTATTGCGATTCCCGCTACACGGGAGTCTGCATCAGACTTGTTCCGTGCTTGAAGGGTTGTGATGTCCGGGGAACTTCTTAATAGGGGAAGGTGCCGGAAAATCCGGTTGGGCAGAAGGCGATGGCACACATAAAAATGAGGAAAATTAGGAATTACTTCGTTGTAGCTTGAGTATATTGCTACTTTCTACGTTGAACAGCTTCGTACATGCGTTAACTCGCAATTCTAAGCTTAGCCCCAGAGGAACGTACACAAGCCCTAACATTCGGATTATCGAGACACGTCCACCATATCCATCGATACGTCATCAGTGTGCTTCAATCGTACAAGCTCGCAGTATTTGGACCGCTATATCGCAGTTAGGCAGGCCGAGTTAAGTGGCTCAAGTTAACTTTTCAACCCAAGAGCTGAACTGATCGGACTTGGCAGCCGCCAGGTCTAGGGTGAAGATACCGTGCTCGGAGTGGATGCCGATGGGTGTAAAGGGATCGGTAGGGTCAATCGGAGGTACCGCGGACGCCGCGAAAGCGAAGCTTGCTGCCGTTGCGCCCGGATCGAGGACTTCTTTAGCACCACCGTTGTGAACCCATGTGCTACAGCCCTGGCAGAGCGTAGTGAGGACCCAGTGAGTCTCGTTTGCAACAGAACCCTTCAGAACGGTGTATTTTATCGGGTCATAGGGATCAGGCTGGACGTGGGCACTAAGTCAAGCGTTAACTATGTGTCGTGGTTTGGAAATATCAACTCACGTCGCGAAACGAGCTCCGGGAACGGTGGTGGTCCCGTTTGCCCAACCCAACGAGATAGGGTTGTATAACATGCCGCCACCCCAGGCGATTCCTGCCCAGCCGACGCTCTTCGGCGCGACTATTTGGAGAAGGACATCGAAAGGGCCCTGCTCCACGGCGGGGATGGCGATCCGCCAAGTAATTGGAGCTACTCCAACTGTGATTTCGGAATAGCAGACGCCGGAAGCCTCATCACAGTACTTGGCTGCGATGGTACGGCCCGCGAGAACCGCTACAACCGTAGTGAGTCGAGCAAGAAGACCCATGGTGCGTTCGTTTCTTGGCGAGGTCAACAATACGGGGAGTTTGCAAGCGTCCTTGGGCTGCTCTTGACACTCTGGCGGGCGAGGAAGCGCCTTAGGTATATATCTTCACCGCGCCTAGCATCGCCTCCTGCTAGCACCTTGTCCTCCCTTATTAACCGCGAGTCACCTTCCTCGCCTATCCATTGCTTGACATCGGCAGTTGTCGGTTGCATCAGCCTGCGCAGCCTGTACACGAGCGAACCAAGTTTTTGGTAATGAAAAGGGGCAAAATACCTCGAAGATGATTGGTCCCCACACGTGTGCCTATGCAATGGTAAATGCACCCCGCCTATCTGGATCCGTAAGTATGGTACCATTCATTTATTTGACTTAAGCGGCTGAAGTCAGGGACAGGGCGGAACTTCTTGTACGTCAACCTTTGATCTGGATTTGGTAAGATGGCGGAGGAGGTAGGGCTACGACGCAATGGATGGGTATGACATCTTCCCACCATGCTTAATCTCTAGCTGATCCGTGTTCGTTTATGGTTAGTATTATCAGTCTAAATAAACTAGGAGTTCATTACAAGAAGCGGTTAAAGAGGTCTTTCAACAACAGCTATCCTCAAGGCGCTTCAATAGCTAGCTCACACTGCCTGCTCATCAACTGATCATAGAGAACTATTGATAAATTAACTATTCTATATCCATGGATATCTTTTCATGATAATATATGGTCTATCGGTAATTGTATACACCGGGTTTTATTGTATCCCCGAGGCAATTGCTATCAACAGATCGAATTCCGTCTCACGCGTCCTTGGCTCCTCAACTCTTCGTAACATTGAACAATGAATCCCTGCTGCAGACGCACAACAAGACTAAAAATAGTGATGATGGTTACCTTCATGTACGATTATTTCGGTATTCGCATAGTATTGAAGTTCTTCATGCCAAATCCTGGGCCTCCTGTGGCCGTAGTCATTGGTGGCGCCACATAACCGATTGATCAGGGCCGAACGAGTTAGCGCATTCTATTGAAATTGTTCAAATTTCT